GAATACTCGATGTTGCACTACCCAGTTTGGACAAAGATAAATTACTATCTCCACTTCCGGAGTGTGCTCACCAATACCAAACAATCAACTACACAAAACCACTCAGGCACATCCATATACACTTCACAAAGCACAACATCAAATATTTTAACACCATATTCATAAGACTAAACACAACAAATTCAACAAACCAATACATCAAATTTATTTGCAAATCAATGGACACCACCGACATAGATGTGACAGTGGAATACTCGATGTTGCACTACCCAGTTTGGACAAAGATAAATTACTATCTCGACCTCCGGAGTGTGCTCACTTACGCTCGGCAAACATTCACACACATTCAGAACTCTTCAATCCCCGTCAGAAAGTAACTAAATAATCAAGCAAATATATACATATATATATATATATATACATATACATATACATATAAGAAACCTCAATTCCAACTGACAACTCGTCATCAACACGAAACATCCTCCAGTCATACAAATATAATCGTGTACCGTCTCCGTCGAGAATGATAATGTCTATCGACTCAACGGTCAACTTATTCATTTAGTCCATCAGCGAATCCCGCAGAATGTCTACTGAGGGTGTTAGATTATGGACACGTCCATATGACCACCCATGGTCAACAAATTTCCACAAACAACAAAACTTCATACACATCGTTCAGGCAATCCAACAAACACAATCATCTATTCTCATACATATATACGCAAAAATATTTTTTCTCATTTTGCCACACATCCACCAATCTATAAAGGGACAAGTTATCTATGCAGTGTCGAACACGCGAAGAAAAGTATGTCGAAAGCAAGCTCACTGCAAACACCTGTAAACGATCAATCATCAAATACAAACAACTTATCACACCACTACAGTCCCAACATCACTATCCAAACATAAGATCCCAGTGCAATACAACACACAACTAAATCACACAACACACAATATCTACTCGATTAGTCAATAACCACCGTACACAAAATCACCAACACCACATAATCACTCACGTCCGATGTAAAAGGAACAAATAACACTAACTATCAATATACTCCATATGCGAATACTATCGTCCGAAACGAAAACTACAGATATCTCGATGGACATCTACCACAACTAACACTGTCTACACACTATTCAGAAATACTCTCGTCACCACAGTCATCCTGTTCTCCACTCACACTCCCACATCTTAACTACAGAACACAACCAGTCAATGTTACACAAGCATTTCACAAGACAAAATGACGCATCTGCACAACTAACATCACCAATATCACTAACATACATGCATACACACACACGACAACAATACTCTCCAATAATCACTACATTATTCAGCTCCGCATCTACACATGAAGAAATCAACAACACATATTAGTCAGACGTCTCTACACAAAACATTCACACCACACTCCTCTGTTCACAGAACAACAATTAACTAAACGACCAGCTAACCCTTTGGTGTCGGCGACACACCACCTCAGAAAAATAAACTGTTTCTTCAACCCAACTATTATTAAGCGAAACAAAACACTCAACTACAACTCACGTTGTCCACAAACAACACTCACCACACATCTGTGAAAGATTAACACTTCTGTGATACACAGTACAAACAAATCAACGTCAAACACAAATACCATCTTCATCATCCACCATCACTCACTCTCTCCCACACACGCACCCTACAAACCATCCACATTAGGCAACCTCACTCCAATTACTACTTGCACATTTTACACAAAAATTCAACATAACATACACAAACACAACAACTGTGATATTCAATGAATGGACACCACTAACAGATAAGCGACAGTGGAATACTCGATGTTGCACTACCCAGTTTGGACAAAGATAAATTACTATCTCCACTTCCGGAGTGTGCTCACCAATACCAAACAATCAACTACACAAAACCACTCAGGCACATCCATATACACTTCACAAAGCACAACATCAAATATTTTAACACCATATTCATAAGACTAAACACAACAAATTCAACAAACCAATACATCAAATTTATTTGCAAATCAATGGACACCACCGACATAGATGTGACAGTGGAATACTCGATGTTGCACTACCCAGTTTGGACAAAGATAAATTACTATCTCGACCTCCGGAGTGTGCTCACTTACGCTCGGCAAACATTCACACACATTCAGAACTCTTCAATCCCCGTCAGAAAGTAACTAAATAATCAAGCAAATATATACATATATATATATATATATATACATATACATATACATATAAGAAACCTCAATTCCAACTGACAACTCGTCATCAACACGAAACATCCTCCAGTCATACAAATATAATCGTGTACCGTCTCCGTCGAGAATGATAATGTCTATCGACTCAACGGTCAACTTATTCATTTAGTCCATCAGCGAATCCCGCAGAATGTCTACTGAGGGTATTAGATTATGGACACGTCCATATGACCACCCATGGTCAACAAATTTCCACAAACAACAAAACTTCATACACATCGTTCAGGCAATCCAACAAACACAATCATCTATTCTCATACATATATACGCAAAAATATTTTTTCTCATTTTGCCACACATCCACCAATCTATAAAGGGACAAGTTATCTATGCAGTGTCGAACACGCGAAGAAAAGTATGTCGAAAGCAAGCTCACTGCAAACACCTGTAAACGATCAATCATCAAATACAAACAACTTATCACACCACTACAGTCCCAACATCACTATCCAAACATAAGATCCCAGTGCAATACAACACACAATATCTACTCGATTAGTCAATAACCACCGTACACAAAATCACCAACACCACATAATCACTCACGTCCGATGTAAAAGGAACAAATAACACTAACTATCAATATACTCCATATGCGAATACTATCGTCCGAAACGAAAACTACAGATATCTCGATGGACATCTACCACAACTAACACTGTCTACACACTATTCAGAAATACTCTCGTCACCACAGTCATCCTGTTCTCCACTCACACTCCCACAACTTAACTACAGAACACAACCAGTCAATGTTACACAAGCATTTCACAAGACAAAATGACGCATCTGCACAACTAACATCACCAATATCACTAACATACATGCATACACACACACGACAACAACACTCTCCAATAATCACTACATTATTCAGCTCCGCATCTACACATGAAGAAATCAACAACACATATTAGTCAGACGTCTCTACACAAAACATTCACACCACACTCCTCTGTTCACAGAACAACAATTAACTAAACGACCAGCTAACCCTTTGGTGTCGGCGACACACCACCTCAGAAAAATAAACTGTTTCTTCAACCCAACTATTATTAAGCGAAACAAAACACTCAACTACAACTCACGTTGTCCACAAACAACACTCACCACACATCTGTGAAAGATTAACACTTCTGTGATACACAGTACAAACAAATCAACGTCAAACACAAATACCATCTTCATCATCCACCATCACTCACTCTCTCCCACACACGCACCCTACAAACCATCCACATTAGGCAACCTCACTCCAATTACTACTTGCACATTTTACACAAAAATTCAACATAACATACACAAACACAACAACTGTGATATTCAATGAATGGACACCACTAACAGATAAGCGACAGTGGAATACTCGATGTTGCACTACCCAGTTTGGACAAAGATAAATTACTATCTCCACTTCCGGAGTGTGCTCACCAATACCAAACAATCAACTACACAAAACCACTCAGGCACATCCATATACACTTCACAAAGCACAACATCAAATATTTTAACACCATATTCATAAGACTAAACACAACAAATTCAACAAACCAATACATCAAATTTATTTGCAAATCAATGGACACCACCGACATAGATGTGACAGTGGAATACTCGATGTTGCACTACCCAGTTTGGACAAAGATAAATTACTATCTCGACCTCCGGAGTGTGCTCACTTACGCTCGGCAAACATTCACACACATTCAGAACTCTTCAATCCCCGTCAGAAAGTAACTAAATAATCAAGCAAATATATACATATATATATATATATATACATATACATATACATATAAGAAACCTCAATTCCAACTGACAACTCGTCATCAACACGAAACATCCTCCAGTCATACAAATATAATCGTGTACCGTCTCCGTCGAGAATGATAATGTCTATCGACTCAACGGTCAACTTATTCATTTAGTCCATCAGCGAATCCCGCAGAATGTCTACTGAGGGTGTTACATTATGGACACGTCCATATGACCACCCATGGTCAACAAATTTCCACAAACAACAAAACTTCATACACATCGTTCAGGCAATCCAACAAACACAATCATCTATTCTCATACATATATACGCAAAAATATTTTTTCTCATTTTGCCACACATCCACCAATCTATAAAGGGACAAGTTATCTATGCAGTGTCGAACACGCGAAGAAAAGTATGTCGAAAGCAAGCTCACTGCAAACACCTGTAAACGATCAATCATCAAATACAAACAACTTATCACACCACTACAGTCCCAACATCACTATCCGAACATAAGATCCCAGTGCAATACAACACACAACTAAATCACACAACACACAATATCTACTCGATTAGTCAATAACCACCGTACACAAAATCACCAACACCACATAATCACTCACGTCCGATGTAAAAGGAACAAATAACACTAACTATCAATATACTCCATATGCGAATACTATCGTCCGAAACGAAAACTACAGATATATCGATAGACATGTGCGATAGCTCACATAGGGTAGGGAAGTTTTGTCAATGGTTTTAGGAATTTTGCGATATATTTTTGTGGGATATTAATTTGAATGTTTGTTGTTATGAAGTGGGAAGAGAAGGAATGTTTGCTGACGATTTCTTTACACGCTGGTAGGTTCAGCTAATTTTACTAGTGACGTATGTATGAAACGATGTCGAGATTTCAAGTTTTTAATTTATTTTTTCGTGATTTCATGAAAATGTTGAAGTCTGATAGCAATAAATTCCTAGTGGTTTCAGACTTAGGAATTATTTTTAAAACTAGTCAGTCACAAATTGCCCTTGTATATTAGTTTTTTATGGTAATAATAAAAATTATGTAGATATTATTCAAAATTGGATTGATGACATAAATACTGTATCAAATATTTTGATCACAAAATTAACCAGAAGACGAGTTTAATTGTAGTATTATATTTATTTAGAAATTTACATGTTTACTCGGAAATCTAGCTTTAGATCTGTGATGTTTCTTGTTTCGTTTGACTTCCTGACTAGTTTTATTATGATCGACCTTAGTAGGAAAAAGAGGTATATTAGTTCCATCCTTTTTCTCTGTAGTAAACGTTTTAGAAATGCCAAGAAGTCTCATTCTTTTCGGATTGGCTATTCTAGCTCGCATTGATTTGCCATCTAATGATTTGATCGCTCTTTTAGCTTGTGATAAAGTGGCGAATTTAACACACGCCACACTTAAAACAAAAGAATAAGAAGGAAATTTTATATCACAGATTAATGAACCTTTTTAAATGAACTATCAGCTATTCTGAAACTCATAAGATTGTAAATGAAGACAAAATGTAATGAGACAACAGCTTCTATAACTTCAACTAGACTGACAACTTTGGAGAGGTGTTACTACCTTAATTAAAAACAAACTTTATGAACTGTGAAATAGCTTGAATATGAACACAGACAATTAGGATTGTTCAGGTTATAACATTAATATATCGATGAGATATTTAAAATCAGTTTGCAAAAAACAGCATATGATAAAAAAAAGAGTGGATCATGTCTATGCTTTCAAAAATTTTGACAGTATGAAATATTTGTCGTTGAAAGAAATAATAGTAGAAAAAGTGCTAGTAACTTTAAATTTGAATGCAAACCGAGAACTTAATGTATTTATTTTTTATTTAAGCACAAGCATTGGCATGAGGAGGCACTAGATACACATGCACCACACCATCACTTAATTCGTGTGAAGGTTGTGATGCTCCTCGGGCACCCAAACCGAAGCAGTGGGAAACGAGTGTACCATACTGTGAAAGAAATCACAAGCATCGCAGTTGATGACGTAACTCTCGATGTACTCAATGTTCCTAGTTGGTCCCGCAACTGGAAAATGTTTTTGATACGTAATTTGTTTAGGGAATTACCACGTCACAAAATGTCATCGACCGAGACCATTGTGAACACTATCCAACGGGTTACAACTAGTTTTGCTAAATAAAAACGCTAGTTGCCTATTCACTTGGTTTGTAAAACTACAACTAGATATACCCAATTAGAGAGCATTGGAAAAATCTAATTGTTATATTATCATGTCATGATAAAGAAACAAATCCGGAGGATTGGAAATAAGCTTACCTATTTTGAGAAACTGACTGTGAGGGTATGCAGAAGTCAATTTCTTTTGGAAATAACTTAAAAATGGTTTCTTCACATAAAGGCAGAGTAGATCTATCTATTACTATACTTGATGGCACATCCTTATCTGCGTTAGAAATTCCGGACTGTCCAGTTTTAGGTAATGAATGGGATGTATCCTTTTTTTTAACAGAAATCGAAAAAACCTGGATTTTCCGACCACCGATCGACACATCTTTTGCTTGTTTTTGGTCCAAAAGACAATCCTCCTCTAAATCATACATAATTCGAGCTTCACCGCGAAAGTGATTAATATGAACCGTTGATGCTTGAGGAAATACAGCCAGAAGATCGTCTTTATTCACCTTTTTACTTAAGCCACGAACTAAAAGACAATTCTTACTTTCAGTGATTTTGAAAAATTAGGAGTAAACAAGCTTACCTTTTTTCTTGTTGTTTTGTGTGGAAAAGAACGGATACTTTTCGACCTCTCAATAAGCAACCTTGCCTACATTTAATGGCATTCACAGCATCTTCTTCTGATGCAAAAGTCAAGTAAGCGACGCCAGGTTTATGTCTAGCATTTAAGTGACTAGTTTTATCGAGTGATATATTAGTGGAAGAAGGAAATTTTCTTGCTATTTCACCTTTCTTAACATTGTAATTTACTCCATAAAGGACAAGCATTTTGCAATCATAGTCATCTGAATACCCATATAATTATGCGAATTCAGATATCGATCTTACCAATACATTCTGAGATGAACTTCCCAACACTGGCGAATAAAGTTTTGTTCCCATAAAGTTTTTTGTGGAGTTTTTCTTTATGCATCAAGGCTTGTTCCTCTGATTCGAACTCCAGGAAGGCGAATCCATGGCATCGGTAAAGACGAGTTATCCATGGTAAACGATAGGCTTTTGCTTCCGGGGCCAGTTTTTCCAATTCATTTATGGTTGTCTTGGCAGGGAGTCCGTGGATTTTCAATGTGCATTTATTACGATGTTCTAAAATGCCTTGTATTTCTTTATAAATGACAGGATTTATTAAATCATTTGTTGCAGGCTTGCGCTCTTCAATAGCAGACTTTGTAGCTGGAGTTTCGACAACTTTTTCATGGTTTGAAACCGAGTTCTCAGCTTTTAAACGTTTGTTCTTTTCCTCTAAAGGACTGTATTCGGCTTTCCGCTTTCCATATTTGACCTTTTCACTTGAAGCCGAACCCTAGAATTCACATAATTAATGACTAGGTCTTTTAAAGACAGTACAATACTTGATTTAACATACGACTATCGATTTATAGTTTTGGAGCTGTAATAACTGAACACGTGATTAAGTAAATCCCTGCTGTACACTTTTTGGTCCATCAGAGCTTTTTAAGACCCACTATACTGGGTTTTTTTCGTAAATTATAATTTGCTCAAATGTTTATAGTTTCCAGTCAGTCAGCTACAACGTAGGATCAGACACATATATGCATCGATCCAAGTTGTCATACCTCATTAGCACAGCAAGATGAACACCGGACTCACAGGAATGATTAAGTCAATGGTGGTATTATATTAAAAAAAAAATTGCATATGAGGATATAGTACAGGAAGAAAGAGTTAGTTCATAGAAAGAAATATATAAAGCGACTTTAATCTCTTAGTTTAAGGGAAGATAGAGAGTGCATACACCGACGCCATTTGTGATCGATTCTGAGCCATGTCACCAAGAGTCTCCAACCATTGGTTAGGACAGTCAAGCGGACCCCCGGTTTATAGTTTCCACAAAAATGTTATTAGCTATAGCGAACTTTGAAAGCATTTAGGTTCCGTGCAAAGTACTTTGAGGCAGCTCAGTAGCTACATAGATTCCCAGTTTTCAGGATGGTATACAGATATCGGTGAAACTATAATTTATGGACGACCTTTGAGCGACACAGAAGTGACCCTGATAGTGCCTACCTACTTACCAGAGCTAAATGAGGGTTATAAAGCAGTTTAAGGAATAAGGATTATGATTTAGAGTTGATGGTTAGAATGAGAACTTAGATTTAGGGTTTTCATTACGAACTGACATGTTACAATGTCAAAACTCTATTTAGCCAGATGAGTGAATGAATTTCGAGCCAAAATTTCAGACCTGTTGTTGTAGATCTGATTGGTTTGTCCATAAATTATAGTCTCGCCGACGATTTTTGACAATTAATAATGAAGCTGCTGAAATATAGTTGAGAATCAACCCAATAAGAGAAACTCGGATGCTTTGATTTACGGGTTACGTTTTAGACCCAGTAATTGGGAGCATACCGATGCAATTTGGAAAATTGAGTCGTCACATTGAGTCAGGCTCGATGGTTACTGTGATCAGCTGGAAAAAATATCCCACCTTACTATCACTCAAGGACTCACAGTTCTTACTTCTTTTATATTAAATTTCAGCTCGAATCACATTGCAGGATAGAATACAAACCTATCAAATAAATCTAACCATTTAGATAATTCATTTAACAAGCTGTCTTTTAAATGTGTATTGTTTTTAAGGCCAGATATACTCAAAAAAGATATTACCAAACGTACGATTATTTGTTCGAGTTCCCACGCTGTTACATCCATACCAAAAAGCCCGGGTCGTTTTAATGTTACATTTCAGTCTTCAGCCTTCAGTAATAACAATGGGAGATCTATCGACTTATATTAATCCTTGCAGTTTGTAACACTTTGAAGGTCCAAGCTCGTTTTCAGTATACCAGCAGAAGGTGTTGATATTACGTGTTCCGGTAGAGAATTCCAGTAATCCATTACTCAGTGTGAGAAACGACACTCCAGACATAAACGATTTGATCTCGGTTTTAGAACTTTCTTCGAATGTCCTCTCAAATGATCAGTCCTAGACGGAAGGGAAAGGTAAGACATAAATACCAAGGTCATCGTTCAGTATACGATAAGCCATTATTAGATCACCATGACGATATAGTTCTATTTGGCGAAGACGCTGCCGAAATGCAAAGTCTTCTGACCAGTATAAGCAACAATGCAAGCATGTTCGGCATGCGATTCTCTCCCTCGAAATGCAACATTTTACTTCAGGATTGGGTTGCAAAGACACCCGAACTAATTATAGGGAGTGAGGTAGTTGAGCGTATCGACCGCCTCACTTATCTTGGAAGTCTCATCAGCCCTTGTGGTCTGGTGTGTGACGAAATCTCAGCACGGATGCAGAAGGCTCGACTAGCTTTCGCCAACTTGCGTCATTTATGGCGTAGGCGAGATATCCGTCTATCAACCAAAGGACGTGTTTACTGCGCAGCAGTTCGTTCCGTCCTACTTTATGGCAGTGAAACATGGCCGGTAAGAGTAGAGGATATTCGTAGGTTACTAGTATTTGACCATAGGTATCTTCGAAATATTGCTCGTATATCGTGGGACCATCGAGTAAGTAAGTAATGCAGTTGTTAGGAAACGGGTACTAGGTAAGGATGGCAAATCAATCGACGAAGTAGTGAAACTTCATCAGTTGAGATGGCTCGGACATGTGTTACGTATGTCTAACCACCGACTGCCTCGATGTGCGATGTTTTGTTGTATAGGAGTAGGTTGGAAGAAAGCTAGGGGCGTCCAGACCAAAACATGGCACAAGCCCATGAAGTCACTGACAAGTGGACTGAGTCATGTTGGTAGGTGTAGACTACCTGGTTGTGAACCGCCAGATGATAGCAACCGATGGTTAGAGACCCTGAATGACATGACTCAAAATCGTTTGCAATGGCGCAGGTGCATCCACTCTTTGTGCTCTCCCAAATTCTAATCTTCTGAATTCCTCATGTCCTTTTTTTTCTTTCCAAATTTATTTCACTGTATTATACTACCTCAATAACATTTTCAAACCCTAATCTTTCCGATTACTACTTATGCTCTTACCACCTCTACCACTACGGGATTTGAATCGACCACTGCATCTCTGTGCTAATGTGGTGTGGCAACTCGAGCTGATGTACGTACGTACGAAGTTCTACGTTGTCACTGACTGACTGATATCACCCCGTATTCTACGGTAAGATAACAGAAATTTGTTAAGGTGTCTCAGTCTGTCTTCATGAGATAGACCAGATGGACCTTTTGCCATCTTAGTTCTTCGCCATTTGACTTGTTCCAGCATATCCAACTCACACTTGAAACAAGGAGCCTCTGCTTGAATTCCAAAGTCGGGTATAATAATCCAAGCATTTCATCATCCAAATACTGGAAAGTCCTACGAGTAGACCATAATACCCTGTAAAATTTTGCAGCAGCAGCCTTACAGTAGCTGGTAGTTTTGAGATTACTGATTCAAAATCTTTATAGTTTCTTACTTTGGGTAGCACGAATTTACATATTGTGTAGTGATACGATACATCATAGTTAGTTAATTGCATCACCACACACTTCTTAGAATTTACTTCTAGTGAACGCCTGTCCATCAATGCCATCGATGAGCTGAGATCGCCCTGTAATGTTATTCTACCTGGCATGCTGCGTGTGTCTCCAAATATTCATAGAATCAGCGAAGAGTAGAACGGTCGATTTCGCTACAGTTGATAATTCATTTGCATAAAATAAAAAGAGAAGAGGACCAACGATTGTGTCTCAGGGGACTTCACTGTTTACAAGTTCCCACGATGAAAGGGCTCTATTTACCCCTATAATTTTCCTCCTGTCATGCAGAAAGTCACTCATCCAGTCTGTGGCTGCATAATGCATTCCAAAACTTCCCAGTTTTAACTTAAGACCAGAATGGGAGACCTTATCAAAGGCCTGATTTAGATCTATGAAATGCACATCTACAGGAACATTCCGATCTTTTGCCTCAGCTTAGTCTTCGGTTGCAGTAAGATTTTTTAAACATGATAGACCTCTCCGAGAACCATGTTGTTCCCTGGATAAAAGATTATGCCCTTCTACATAGTTTATAACAGCTATCCGGATAAATTTTTCCATTAGTTTTACAACTTTGCTAGTTAAGCTAACGGATCGATTACTTACTTACGCCTGTTACTCTTATTGGAGTATAGGCTGCCAACAAGCATTTTCCAACCCAGTCTGTCCTGGGACTTCTTTACTAATTCCATCCAATTCTTGTTCATTCCTCTCATGTCTGTCTCCATTTCTCGGCGTAATGTGTTCTTCGGTCTTCCTCTTTTCCTTTGGCCTTGAGGATTCCATGTGAGGGTTTGTCTTGTGACGCAGTTGGGTGCTTTCCTCAATGTGTGTCCTATCCACTTCCAGCACTTCTTCCTGATTTCTTCCTCCACTGGGATCTGGTTTGTTCTTTCCCACAGTTGGTTATTACTAATAGTATCCGGCCAACGGATCTGAAGTATTTTGCGTAGACAATTGTTAGTAAACACCTGTATTTTCTGGATGATGACTTTCGTAGTTACCAACTAAATCTCTGCTCCAAGTCTCATACACCAGACGAATTGTTGTGTCTTTCCAGTCTCTTGGCAGCCTGGACTGCCACAGAGACATATCAAACGGTATCGCCAAAGCTTCAGCAATCACATCTTATAGGGCTTTCACAATCCTAGGATGAATAACATCAGGACCATTGAACTTATCACGTTTTAGATGCTGAATTAGTCATAAGACAGTAACTTTCTTAATGAATACAAGGTCTATCAACAAGTTGCTTCAATCACAATGAAATGTTGGTCGTCCCTCATTACTGATGGAAAATGATAAATCTTGTTAATTTGAACGCTTTATTCGGTTCCTAAGCTATTCTGGTAGCCCACAAGCTAGAACTGCGCATCGACCTGAACTCGAGAGAAAAAGAGCAAAATATGCGAAAAACACTTAACTCCAAAGGTTCATTTTTGTACAGAAAAACATGGGTATTTATGGATGTTAATATTTGTTAAATCAACATCATGTTTTGGCCAACCCGCTAAAAGACATATTATGCTACTGACCAATAGTAGCACGCCACGTTGATATTCTGGGAAGCTTCGTCATGCTCTGATTGGCTAGGACTCTTCGGCTCTTTCAGGGCCTCTGGAGGCTCCATTGCAGTCTTGGGGAAGCCGACTCAACAGAAAACACTTTATCAAAATAATCCGATAATACTTTAGCATTTTGATATCATTTCTTGCCAGCATTAACGGATTTTCTTGTATCAGAAGTGACGGAATTCCATCGCTTCTCCGAGTTTGCCGTTTTTATATACGAGAATAAGCGTTTCGTAGTATATTTACAATCCCTAACATATTGTTTTTCATATGACCGTCTAGTCTTATTTGCGCTTTACAAGCATTCCTAATCTTATGATAAATGGATCTGTACTGTTCTAAGCCAGTGAAGATAAATGTATTTCAATGCTTTTTCCTGCGTCTAAGAAGTTTCTTAGCTTGCTTAGTTATCCACGATGGACTGTTATTCAGTCTTCGCGGTACCAGGTATGGTATGAACTGGGACGTAACTGAACTAAACTTGCATTTAAATATATACCATGCTCCTTCAGCTGATGAGCTGTTATCTAATGACCAATCTGTCTTAGCAGCGCATTCCTGGATGGCTGATATGTTGGCTCTCCATATATTTGGGTGAGGCCTAACCTCATCGTATATCATGCCACTAGCTCTAAACGTGAATGACAAAACGGCATGATCGCTATCCACCAACGGTGAAAGATTATTTAGGTTGGCATGAGTGATTACCAAGGCCAATAGAGAAGAAAATCGGTTTGCACCAAAACGTGTGGGTTTGGATACATGCTGTACTAATGAATGCTCCATTACTGTTAACAGGAACGTGCTGTCAAAGGAGTTTATAGATCCTTCCATGGTCATTTCAGTTCATCTAATATCAGTTTCACTATAGTCTAATATCAAGCACCTGTTATTTGCACTCCATAGCTGAGTCATCAGCTAAACAGATTGGGCTGCGATAGATGACACCGAGTATAAATGTACCACATCCGATAGTGAGGTCGCAGCAAATGACTTCACAAGTTCCATTGTTATGGGATTCATAAACAAAGGAGCGGATATTTATATTATTGGCTATGTATAAAAGGACTTTACCTCATTTCCTACCTAGTTGTCTTCCCCCCAAAAAGGGGCCACGTGGAACAATATAGCAATGACAAAATCTACACTGAAAGTTTCTGTTCATCGCATTTTTCATGGGATTTTCACCTTTATCAGCCGTCCTGCAAATAAAGAATGAATGAAATTGTAAGTGCATGTCGAAATATACTCGAACGTGTGTAAGGTCACGAAACATTTGAAAAAGTTGAAAATCTGGTAAACCTATGTATTGATAACACGTGAAACAGTTTTGCACACTGAATCATCCTAAATTTTCTTAAGAAGACAAAAAGCATTTATGAGCATGTTTGAAAAAAACTAGTTGTTTCTGTTTTTGACATGCCAATACAAACTAACGAGATGAGACAAAACGTTATGCCGTTTTCTACGCGTAGCAGTCGTTTAAGTATTCTGTAAACCTTACTCTTCTTCCAGAGAGTGTTTTTAAGAACGGTTGTCAGATGAAGCCGAAGTTTCTTCATGATTGATCCATTAGGTTGGCGTCATTTCAGTGTACTGATGAAAAACAGCATCATTAGAATTTCCTTGTAAGTAATGGCTTT